TAAATGTCCACCTAAGAGCATAATATATTCACCTCATAATATATATCACACGATTTAGGTTACCGTATACCTACATGGGTATCGAATCGCTATATACAAGTACATTGAGGGTTGACCGATTCTCGTCCTGATGGCAAATGATTATATTATTAGGACCACCAATCTTCGCACGTTGGCACGTTGTAATCATGCAGGCCATTTATTTTAGGTCACCACAGCTGATCGTATAAGTATTAATAATATATGTTATATTTTATTATGATATGCTAATTTGTTATCGCATAAGAATAATATAGTAATCGTACTCGTTCAATTGCCTGAGTTTAGTCATTGTGTCGTTACACGTTGGCGTGATGACCATTTATGCACGATTACAATAATAGTTATATATCGTATTATACAAATAATAATGTTTTTAAATGCATCTATATATCGCTGTTCACAGTAATCGTTTTCATATGGGTTGTCGACGCTTTAGATCGCGTTAAGTCGGAAACAATATTATTATTATATAATTTGTTGAATATATATATATATTAAACACTTGCGGAGGTGGCGCTATTTTCTTTCTGCAACACCGCAAGCATGTCGAGCACACGAAGTTTGTAAATCATATGTCAACAATAATTATTATTCCATTATTGGTACGAATTCGAAACGCACGTACGTCCCCTTATTCCTCGTCGAAATCAATTCCAACGGCAGCTGGTGCCGGTCACGCGCTTACCTCAACTTCCGAATTATTTATATATCATTGYATATATTTTATAATGTATACATAGTACCTACTTGGTACATACGATTAATATCAGWTTAATGAAAAAAACTAGATCGACTTATAAATAATCTAATCAGAATTAAATTTTGCTCGGTCGAAAAAGAGGATCAAGGTGGTCGGTATCGTGTATGGGATATCAAAAATAATTAAACAGGCTATTCAATGTACATTATTGAGGAACGCATGATCACGGCCAATTAAAAGTGGTCGTAATATAATGTGAATAATGATWAAACGCATAAACTGTATCTATCTCGAATTAAAAATAATAAAAGTAATATTATCATRATTCGGAAAGAGATAAATYCCGAAGCGGCAATACGAGTTGTGGTTGCCAAAGATGATTTTTTTTTTWAAACACCCAATAKGTASCAAATATTATTATATAACGCTGCATAAATAAATATACTTTCAAAAYAAACATATTACAAAATTCTAGAATAATAAAACGAAACGAAATGCCTGCTAAGGTATCTAATTAAGCATAATTTTATGAATTA